CTAGCATGAGGACCTGAGTTCAATCCCCAGCACCCACAAACACTGAGCGTGCTGTAATCCCAGTGCTGGGGAGAAGACAGGATGATCCTTGGAGCTCACTGATCATCCAGCCTACCCTAATAGGTGAGCTCTGGGTCCCATGGAGAGAGACTGCATCAAAAATCATGGTAGCCTAAACATGTTCTGAACAGGGACAACACCAGTAGACATGCTAATGTGGAAGAGGGAAAGCTCACATCCAGACAATGAACTAAGGAATGCTGGGGGAAGGGTGCTTTCCAGAGAAGAGCACACCCAATTGGTTATCTAATACCAAATGGCCAGCCCTGGAAACATATACATACAAGTATCACTATACAGACTGAGCAGGTTGTATTTATATATTCAAGAGTATGAGAGAGACACACACATACGTATACACATATAACTACAGTTACAAGTCCATGAATTTGAAAGAGTGGGGTGTGCATGAGAGGGATTGGAGGGAGGAAAGGGAATGGGGAAATGATGTAGTTCTGTTATAATCTCAAAAAGTAAAAAATTATGTAAAAAGTCAACATAGACAGTTACTGAGAATGACATTGGAGTTGACCTATGACCTCCATATATGCAGACACATGAACACACACACACACACACACACACACACACACACACACACACACGAAAGAGCCACAGCTTATAAGTAGCAATGGTTGTTTCTTTTTTATTTTCATGACTTTTAGTTCCTGTGTGTTTGGGAATAGTATGTGTACCACATGTGTGTCTGGTGCTCACAGAAGCCAGCAGAGTCAAATCCCTTGGAACAGGAGTTCCAGATGGTTGTGAGCCATCATGTGGGTGCTAGGAACCAAACCAGGTACTTGTGCAAAAACAGCCAGTGCTATTAACCTCTGGGCCATCTTTTCAGGCCCAATATTTATGTTTTTGATAGATAAACTTCATTATTAGTTTCTGGAAGGCTTGTTTTTTCATGGTAGAGCATCTTTCAGTTCTTGAACAAACTTTACTTTTCATGAATTTCTTTATTCATTGGCTTTTTATATTATTATTTGTTAGAAATGTTATTATTTAAATTGATGAATAATTTTCTTTTGTAATATTGCATTTTCTGATTTTGGTATCAACATTTTGATACAATAAAATGCATTTGTAATAGTTTTACAGTTTTTGTTTTAACACAGAAGTTTACAAACTTCTCTAAGTTTGAATGAATGCATTCCCACAACTAGGATGGCCCATGGTTATCTGTTTCCTGTTTTCATGACAGGTAGCTCAAAGACATATATAAACACATAGGTATATTTAGACCTTGAATTAGTTTTGGTGAGTTGTTGTAATTTTATATAAAATACATTATGTCTAAAATTCTTTGGCCTCCATTTGTTCATAGAATTTCTGTATGTTTTTGATTTCTGGTATAACTCCTGTACTGTCTACTTTTACATTACCAATATTAACAATTTACAATCTGTCTTTCCATGTTTTACCCTCAGTCTTCTGTAAGACATACTCTACTAGGTCCCCCAAGGATTGCCACTTCTTTAATTAGTTCTTTTGTTCTTTTTATCCTCTTTAAGTTTCTTTGATGTTTTCTCCAAAGCTTGGAATTTTATAGTTATGAATAATTGTTTTTTTTAAAAAATAACAAATAAGAATTTTTAGAAACAGCTATTAGTTATCTCTCTCAAGTTCTGATTTCTATTATTTTTACTGTTTTAAAACTCATAGTCAGCTGGGCAGTGGTGGTGCACGCCTTTAATCTCAGTACTCAGAAGGTAGAGGCAGGCAGATCTCTGTGAGTTCGAGGCCAGCCTGGGCTACAGAATGAGTTCTAGGAAAGGCGCCAAAGCTACACAGAGAAATCCTGTCTCAAAAAACAAAGAAAGAAAGAAAAAAAACTCATAATAGTCATTTTGTCTTTGGTGATACATGCATTATTTAGAAGTTGATTTTCAGACAATAAAGAAATGAGATATATAGTACACTTTTAGGTAAATAAAACATGACTTAGAATATAGTATAGACTTTTATAGGGATGAGCCCCCTTATTGTTTGCCCAATGTAGAGTGGTCGGCCTTGAAACCATATACATACAAACAACAAGAAGGTACTTACTAGGTTGTATTTATATATATTTGTACACAAAAATACATACTTAACAATAATAATCAAAGAAAAAGAAGCTTCCAACTTGGAAGTGAGGAAGCATGAGGGGTTTGAATGCATATCTGGGAGGTGCCAGAAGGAAGAAAAGGATAATAGAAAGTGATATAATTCTATTTCCGGTAAAAAAATAAATGACTGCTAGTGATTATCACATCTTTCTGGCATTAACCAATACATATATTTTATATACTTTTAAAATCAAAGTTACAAGTATCTAGTGTTCTAGACAAGAAAATCTAGATTTTCAAGATTTTTAATTTGGAAATTTTCTATCTTTATTCATTGTATGTGTATGCATGTCTGGACACACATGCCACGGTGCACATGTGGAGGGGACAACTTTCAGGAGTCAGTTCTCTCCACTATGTGGATTCTAGGTATCAAACTCAGGTCATCAGGCTTGCTGGCAGTTGCCCTTATTTACTAATCATCTTACCAGCCCCATTTGAACTTTTTATCAACTTAAGATTTGATTTTTATTGTCTTACACTGGGAAGGAAATCAGCATTTGAAATCAGTTTCAAAATACGTGAAGCAAAGCCACCTATAAATGGAGAAGAAAGTTTTATTAGATTTTCCCACAAGACTAGTTTTCTAAGCAAAAGTCAATAAAACAATACCTCTAAACTCATCAAATTTTTACTCATTAAGTTTAGAGATTTTTTTTCAGTGTTCTAAAACTTGATTTGGCATTTGGTGTTTTAGAGATGTCTTCATAACATCTTTTAAAATAATATTAAATGAAGTTGGAGAGATGTGTCTATGGTTCAGAGCACTTGCTGCTCTTGTAGAGAACCTGGTTGGATGCTTAGTACCCATGTGGTGGCTCACAGTCTTCTGTAACTCCAGTTTTAAGGGTCCAGTGCCCTCCTCTGGCCTCCACAGGCTCCAGACATCAATGTGGTATATAAACATACATGCAGGCAAAAACTCATACACAAAAATTTAAAACTTTTTTAAAGGAGTTATCAAGTGATTTAATTTTCATATGTTTCTGGAGATTGGCTATGAAATGTTTTTTGCTTTGTGTTCAAAAAGAGCTATAGCTTAATATTATATTAACTTAAAAACAGTTTAGTTTTAAGGAGCTTTTTAGAAATGAGTTTTGAAGTATTTTTAATAATCTGATGAATACATCCTAATGTTTATTTTTCTGTGTGATGAAATATTTAAAATTTCGGCCTTTTGTACACAAACTTGGGTGAAAGTAACTTTATTTAATGCTAATCTTTTTGGTAGTCTCTGTATTAGCATTTGGTCCTGAAATGATGAAGCAGAAAGATGTGGCATGTGTTCAGTGGTACAGTGGCTATTCAAAAACACAGTTCTGCCAACTAACAACAACAAAAATTCCCTATTGGCCCATACCTGAATTACTTCTTTTAGTTCCTAGGGGAAATAATATTTCAATGTCCATAGAATATAGAAGGAACGAAGTAAATCATAAACCATATTAAACTTTATCTTTGTGTGTATGTATATTATGATAGTTTAATTCATAATGTTTTAAAGCATTGTTTCCGTGGATTTGTTTAACCTCAGTAAAATTTGTCTTCTGTCCCTTTGGTGTCACAGCCCCAACAGTATGCGTTTGTCACAGTTAAAATTGGTAAATAAAAAGGAGTGCTTATTTTCCTTGAAACCTTGTTGATGGGGGAATAAAGTATAAATCAGAGATCTTTCACCTAAGAAAGTTTTGTAAAAATAGATTTATTTTATTTTATTTTTAGACAGCATCTCACTATATAACTGTGGCTGGCCTGAAGTCACTAGGTAGACCAGACTGGCCCAAACTCAAGAGCTCCACCTGCCTCTGCCTCCTGAATGCTGAGACTAAATATGTGTGTATACCACCACAGTTGTCATTTGTGAAATATTTTAATGCCACCAAAGTGCTCTTAAATTTAGATATGGCTGTATAAATGTGTAATATATAATTATATAAAAAAATTTCCTTACTCAGTGTATTAATCTTAGTTCTCTCTTTTATTACATTGGGATGATTTATTGGTCATTTTAAATTTTTCTTAGGTTTTTAAAACTAACTTTGAGACTGATATATTAAATTAACCTTTTTGATTTTTTAAAAGTTTTATTTCAAAAATCAGCAGCTGTCATTAGGAGACCATTGTTTTCCCAAGACAATTTTGTTCATCATTTAAATAAGCCATTAACAGTGCCAGTGATGGGGGAAGAGGTGTTTTCACCCTATTTTCCTATTTTGGTTGCTATATTCATTGGCCTTTGGCCTTCCTTTAAATTTTCTGATGTTTTCCCAATTTTGCATATCTGGAAATAAAAGCCCTCAGTTACTAAATGTTAGTTCATGTTACCCTACTAGGACTATTTCCATTCCTAAGAAAGAGTGATTAAAGAAACTAGTAACTGAAATATGCATTCACCAAGAACAACAACAAAAGAGAAGCATTAGAGCCGGGTGGTGGAGGGGGATGCCTTTAATCCCAGCACTTGGGAGGCAGAGGCAGGCGGATCTTTGTGAGTTCGAGGCCAGCCTGGGCTACCAAGTGAGTTCCAGGAAAGGCGCAAAGCTACACAGAGAAACCGTGTCTTGAAAAACCAAAAAAAAAAAAAAGGAGCATTAAATGGATTAATTTGTGAGTGGGTTGATGGATGACAGTAGTGTTTCAGGCATGAGAAGTCTGTCTCAGATGTTTGCCCAATAGCCTCCTGAGGAGGTAGAGGTTTACCATGGTACAGAGGGTCTGTCGGGCAGATTATACCACTGCTACTGCTGCTGTAACTCAACACTGACATGCATTACTTGTCATGCTAGCTTGAAATCAAATCCCCTTTTTGTTTGTTTGTTCAAGACTGAAAGAGCATATTCTTTTTGTGGAACTATTGAATACATGGCACCAGATATTGTCAGAGGGGGTGATTCAGGACATGACAAGGTATGTTCTACTTTTGATACTACTTTGTGTATTTCTGTAAATTGTGCAGGAAGAGTGAATCCCAGTTAATAACTTCCAGTGCAGACTTTAAACAGAGCATCTCTCTGTTACTTCTTACCTTCATTTGTTTCTCTGCTTTGTGTACTGGAACACACTATGAGTTTTCACATTTTGTTTTAACAAAAGTTAAGACATTTTGGGTTTTCCTTTTAAGGTTTTATTTATGAAGATCTTTTGTAGAGTAACATTCTTGTTAAAGTTGAAACCTTGAAGTTATTCATTAAATAATTTTACATTTTATTTTCTTTGGAAGAGCCTATGAGTGTGAACAAAGTACCAATCATGGTGCTTACTACTTAAGTATCATTTAAAAAAAAACTCATTCTTTTTGTGTTAGACACATTTGAACTAAGTATAATACAAAGGTGTGACTGAATAACTAAGCTGTGTATATGGCTCCTCTCTGCATCATGGAGAAAGATTTTGGACAGAGCTTTATTAGTATGGTTAAATTCTTTAAGTTCTTCAAGAAACAGATGGTGGTTGTGTTTGCCACCTTTGGTTAATAAGTCCTGCCAAGATGTTGAGAGACCACTGAAAAAGAAAACTACTCACATTTTATTCCCAGTTTCTGCCTTTAACTTCACAAAGATATTGATGACTTTGTTGATTATTATCCAACAGAAATCGCATTTTTCATAACCTTTTAAATTTTCATTTAAGGAAAATTCTACGGTTAAAATATAGTTTGTTTTCCTAACCCTTTAAAGAGCTCGATTTTTTTTCTTGCTTTCTTTCTTTGTTTCTTTTCTTTCCTTTTTTTCCCCCTCCTCTCTCCCCTGTATAAATGCCAATGAAAATAATAAAGAAGCTGTCGGCTCTAAGTCGTTACAAGATCTAGGCCATTTTCTTATCCCGTATTAAAGGGTAATACTTTCCTATCACTTTTGATTTAACAATAACATTCTCTAAATGAATTCTGGCTGGCTTGTCCTTATTGTTCTCCTCTCCTTTATCCCCTTTCAAAACACCACATAAACGATTCCAGTATCTGGGATGAATGATGAATGCTTGGTCTTCTTTTGGATGACCTGTCCTATATCGATCAATCCCATTCCCCAGGTTTGGATATACTGGCCCATGGCTAGAATCTGATCTCAGGTCTGTATTAGCCAAACAGCATGGTTTCATGTCCAGTGCAGAACATTCTGAGGGCAGACTCAGCTGGCATTGGAACTGCTTATATGAATTCAGGAGTTGAAATGCTGGTTTAGTTTGCTTTATGGTATAATTTAAAGCTATTGTGTGATTCAATAGGAATTTATAACTTAGATTTTGAAAATTAACTACTAAAGCTTTAATTTTCAAATAAGAAAACCTTGTTTTACACCTAGAATTTCTGCATGACTAAGATCCATGATATAATTAGCCAAAAAATATTGTCTCTTGAATATTTATTGTTCAGATAATGGTTTTTATAAATAGGTTTCCAGTTGAGTACATTTTACTTTCTATTATTTTAAACTTCCCCATTCGTGTGAATACATAGACACATTCTGTAAGAGAAATTGGTTTTTAGGGGACTGTTTAAAAAGTAACACCCTTGTGTTAGATTTTTACATTTTTGCCTTTGAGTTTAAGGAATTCTCTCTTGTTCTTTGAACATGAATGCTTTATAAAAATGCTAGTTGGTACTCCCCCCCCCACCAGATCATAAATTCAAAATTCTACCTACCTAAACTTTTAGAAAATAAATTTTAAGTTAAATTGTCTTAAATTAACAATGGTAAAACTAACCAGTTTAGGAAATCATTAAAGCATTTTCTGTTGTGGGAATAAGTAGGCTTTTTTTTTTTCTCTAAATGTCTCTTATATATGTTAACTTAATACTCCTGGGACAGAAAGCTATGAGAAATGTTTTTGGTAAAATATTTTTTAAGTATATAACTTTATTTTGGTCCTTTTTTCTTGTAACATATATTTTAGTTGCTAATTCTTCAAAGTGAAATTATTATTGTTTTATAGGCAGTTGACTGGTGGAGTTTAGGTGTTCTAATGTATGAACTACTAACGGGAGCGTCTCCTTTCACTGTTGATGGAGAAAAAAATTCCCAGGCTGAGATATCTAGGTAAGACTTAAACAAATACCCTAAAATTATCCTCTTGTAGGCTTCTTGGGTGTTACTGTCTGTACTCATTCATAACAAGTATCACGGTTGCAGTGTTATGTTTTTGTCCTATTTTTATTTGAATTTTCTAACATTAAAGACAGATTTGACAGAAATAAATATTGAATCCACTTCAGTGAAGATGAAATAACAAGGATCAGTTTGCCTTCTTCCCTGAAACAATTTTAATAATGGACAAAATGTATGAAACAGCAGTTTTAGGACATTGGACATCTGGCAATGGAGGACAGTGGTTTTATAGGTACAGAAAATAAATAAGGTATGTGCTAAGGTCACCCCAAATGACTACCTTCAGAGCTCCCAGGATGCAGCACACGGAGGAACAACCCATGTGACATCAAAGAAATGGAACTGATAGTCTAGGGAGTCCTAGACAGCTAGTTTGCTGACCGGAGTGTCTGAGAGGAGAGATGGGAGTCCAGAGACTAGCAGAAGCATTGTGATATGGAAAATATACACAAAACACTTACTATTTTATAGTTATTTACTTATAGTATAGTGTAGATCAACTCCAGATTGATCTACACCTTCAACACAACTACAATTCCAATTCCAACTGGCTTTTTTGGTTTGGGCTTGGTTTTTTTTTTTTTTTAATATAAGAAATTGGCAATCTGATCTAAAACTCAGAAATGAAGAGGAACTAGACTAGTTGGATTACCTTTGAAGAAGAAGAACAAAGTTGATTTCAAGACTTATAAGCTGTAATGATTGCACACTTTGTTTTTGGTGTCAAGACAAACAGATGAATTCTGAATAATTTGCACACCTGCAATCCCAGTACTCAGAAGGTGTAAACAAGAGGTTTGCTACGAGTTCAAGGCTAGCCTGGTCAACATTGCAAGTATTAGAGCAGCTCTAGCTACACAGCAAGACCTGTTCTCTGAAAAATGAAAAAAGAAGAGAAAGAGGAAGGAAGGGAGGGAGAAAGGAAGGAAGGAAAAGAAGGAGAGAGGGAGGGAGGGAAGGAAGGAAAAGAAGATAACCAAAACAGAATAGAGCCCAGAAATAAAACTGTGTGTACAGGTAACACACTTTTGACAGAGGTTCAAAGATACCTGTCACTTTGCAGGGTGTGGGGACCTTCTCAATTAATGATGCTAGAACCACTTACTGCTCAGATAGGAAAAACATGAACTTCAAATAAATGCTTACTACTATATAGGAAAAAATCAGTCCAAAGGAAGTTATAACTATAAAACTTCAGGAAGAAAACATTTTTAAAAATCTATAGGGCTGGGAGACGCCTCAACAGATAAAGGTTTAAACCTAGTGACCTGAGCTCAAGCCCCCAAACCCACATAAATGTGGAAGCATACTCCATCAAGTTATCTCTGACCTCCACCTGTGCTGTGGAGCTTGCATCCCCCTCTACAGAATTAGCTAATTTCCTAAAGTTCACTGTGGTCTTGAGTAAGCTAAAAAGTTCTTACGTAGAACAGTCAATAAATAAATCATTTATAAACTAGACTGTTTCAAGATTAAATATTTCCATTCTTCAAAACATTAAGAAAATGAAGGCAGTAAGTCACTGAGATAAAAAGTTTTAATCAGTCAGGCAGTGGAGGCACATGCCTTTAATCCCAGCACTCGGGAGGCAGAGCCAGGTGGATCTCTGAGTTCGAGGCCAGCCTGGTCTACAGAGCAAGTTCCAGGAAAGGTGCAAAGCTACACAGAGAAACCCTGTCTCAAGAAACCAAAAAGAAAAGAGAAAAAAGAAAAAAGAGTTTTAATCATGTATCTGATAAAGGTCTGGTATAGAAAATATATAAAGAACTCTAAAAACTTAAATCAAACAACCTCCTTATAAAATAGACAAAAATATTGAACAGACATTTCAGTGAAGATGATCAGTGAGTGGCAAATAAACATGTAAAAAGATGAGCAGTTTCATTGGTATTTAGGGAAATACAGATTCCAACCACAGTGAAATACTCCCATACTCACTAAGCTGGTTGTGAATAAAGACGATAGCCATGCCAGATGCTGGTAAGAATATGGAGGAAATGCAAGGGAGTGTGAGTAGGGGCACTTGATAGTACAGTATCAATAATACAATGTTAGAAAATGAGCAGTTTCTTTGAAAGCAAAACATTCTCTACTACATGAACCATCCTTCTAGCCCTAGGTATTTACAAGGGAAAATAAGACATATCCTTTCAAAATCTTGTACAGCAAGTGATCCCAAACTGGAAATAACCCAAGTATCTGTCAACAAGCAGTTTTGAAAAATTATGGTGTATCCATGCAAATAAAGAGCTACTTCACAGTAAAAGTGCACACTGTTTCAGTACAAATAAGAAGTTGGATAAATCTAAAAGTAGTTGTACTGAATGAAGAAGCCAGACAATATAGAGTGTTTACTGTATGATTCTAGTTCTGGAAAATGTCAGCTCATCTATTTTAACAAGAAGCAGAATATTGATTGGTGTGGGAGTGGTAAGGGAGAAGAGAAGGAAGGATTCACAAAGGAACATGAAAAACTTTGGAAGAGAATAGGTTTCTTCATCATCTTGAGTGTGGTGCCAGTTTCACAGTTACATGCACAAGGCAGGCTTCATCCAGTTACACTTTGTGTGAATTTATTCTGCATCCATTGTACATTAATAAAGTAAAATAGTAAGATGTACCATTTCCAGGACAAACTCAGAAGTAGATAACTTCAATATTTCAGCTTACTTAATACCTAAGTTAAACAAGAAGAAATTTTTTTTAATCAGCTGAAATTATACCTGTTGCAAAATTCTAAATACTGTTTTTAAATTTTAACTCTAAATGGATTTTTGACAGTTTGAAAATTCCTCGGGTGGGGTGTGGTGATTCATATCCATTATCCAGCTGACCATGGAGTCACAAGAGTCACAGAGTTGAAGCCAGCCTAAGCAAAATTTTGATACTCCATCTAAAAAAATTAATAGGTTAATTTTTAGAAAAATGCCTCAAAATAATAGGAAATGTTGGCCATCATTATGAGATGATGAATTTAGGTCTTGGTTTCCCTTCCCACTCTAGTTCTGTCTGCCTGTAGAGAAGTATATTGCTTATGATAGCAGCAACTCTTCAAGTGACAGTCACATTTAAATTGATTGGGTTTCTTCCCTTCAACCATTTGGCATTCTGGTTTTAGCAAGTGAAAGATCATGAGTCAAAATCTGTCTAAGAACTTTAAACTAGAACAAATGGATGTTCAGGAATTAAAGTAGAATTTCTTCCTTTTAATCAGTTGTCTTATTTTGTTAGGTTAATTTTGTTTAAAACTTGGTGTTAACAGGATAATTTGGTGGCTTTTGATGACTGAATTGTCCTACTTCACCTTTTCCTTTTAGGTTAATCATTTTGATTATCTTTACTGATATAAATCTCTCATAGTTTGTTCTTTTAAATATATAATCAAGATAAGTGTCTCTTGTCTCTAAGTGTTTTAATTGGTGAAGGCCTTTTTTCATTGAGTTCTTACATTCATTACTTAAGAATTTTGTTTTGAAACAGAGTCTCACTATGTAGTCTTGGCTAGCCTTGAATTTACTGTGTAGACCATGCTGGCCTCCAATTCATAGAGAGCCACATAGTCTTCTCTGTACAATCAAGTAAATCCCACCCCCCCACTTGACTGTTAAAACTCAGTTTCTCTTCAAATGTAGTCCCAATAGATACAAGGACCAGCCCAGCCTGAACTAGTTTGGGTAAATGCCCAATAAAACTGTGTCCTCAGGTGAACTTTTAATGATAATCCCCTATTTACTATTTTATGTCTACATAATTGGGTGTGCATTTGATTAAAATTAGGTGCATAATAAAAAAGGACATACACAGTAGAATTATTTATATGACCTCTATCAAACAAAACAGAAAATAATGGCACTGTTCCCCTTAGTAACCATACTTCTCTTGAAAGAAATCTGTTTGTAAGGCTCCTAGCAGTGAGATCAGGACCTGTCCGTGGCACTTTAGCTGGCTTTTGGGAACTTGTTCTCCCTGCTGGGTTACCTTACCCAGCCTTTATGCTCACTCCTACCTCAACCTAAAGTGCTATGCTATGTTCAAGCCCCTGGGAGGCCTGCCCCTTTCTGAATGGAGAAGTGAGTGGGTGGGGAAGGGGGTAGATGGGAGTCGGGAGGGGGGGGAGGGAATAGGAGGTGAGGAGGGAGGGGAAACTGTGGTCAGTATGTAAAATGAAGGGGGAAAATGTTTTGTTTTTTTTTTTTTTTTTTTTAAAAGGAATCTCCAAACAGTAATGGGAGCTTGGGCCCTTGTGTATCTTCACTCTTGTGGCCTGTTGTTCCCCCGTGGTATGTTCTGACCTGTTCTATAGTTTGACTTTGAATACAGCTTCCTTGCTACCTTTGCAGTCTGTGTGAGTCTTTATTTCAAGTTTTTGACTTAGAGTTCAAGAATCTGGAATCAACTGGCCCAGATTCCCAACTACTGGTAACAACATTGCTGCGGGTACTTGAAGACAATTTTATGTAAGATAAACCTTTTCAGTTCTGTTGACTATTCGTAAGAAATTACTTCAGATTCCTCATATCTTGGTACCGTTTTAGACAGATGTTAACTTGTTAATTTAGCCTTGAATGGTTTCTGTTTAGCTTTTTGTATGTCTGTTTCTTATCTTTATCCTTGCATGTATGTATCATGAACTTTTATTTCTTATGTGTCTCCCACTAGCTTTCTATCTGTGTAGAACTTTGACTTTTAGAGCATGTCTTTACTGCTGAAGAGGACGATACTGCCCCATCAAGAGAGTCAGTTCTTCTATCTGTTCTTACAGTACTGAGGCTTTGAAAACCATGATCAATTAATATCTTCTTACCTGAGAACCAAGATATAAATGTTTATCTCCTCCTCTCCCATCATCTCTTGACAACTTTCTTTTCTTTATCTAGTTTTCTCTGCCTTTGAAATAGAGAATACATTTGCCATGAGATGTTTATCTGTTG